CCGTCCTTTAATAGAGGGACAATGGAGAAGGTCAGTAGCTTCATCCTAAGCACACAGTGGTCTGGTGAATTAAACTGTTGCATGTTTTGGTGATTTGTTTTGTTTCTTTTGCATTCAGTATCCAAAATAACCCAGCAGCTGTGTGTGTAGGTAGACAAATCTGGGTAAATAATGAAAGACTTTGGGGAATGACAGCACCGATCTGGTAAAGCTCAAAGACATGCAGATCTTTGAGAAGCTGCTGACAAGCTCTCAAAAACTGGAGGGGTTTTAAGCAGACAGTGAATTGCAAAATATAAAGACAATTACTACATAATACTCATTAGGTCTACTTTAGTCTCTCAACCTTGAAATGAGTGGAAGGTGTTCTTGTTTGTTATAGTACTGGCATTATTTATTGCTTGTCAAGTGATAAGACACAGGCCCCACTGTGATGCTGTATAAATATGTACTACAAGGACTATATTTGATACTGAGAACTCAATTTAAAAGCAGGTTTTAAAAGGCCAAATAATTAACTGATTAATAAATCTTATAAAGTCCTAGACTGGCCATAAAGTCATCAATTGATTATTGCTATACACAGCAACTTATAACTTCCACAGATGAGCTCATAAGCATTTACGGTATACAGATGCACTTGTGAGATCTTCTGATAATAAATATTAGCTGTTAAACCTCAGTAATTAAATTTTCAGGGATGGGATATATTAAAGAACTTAAAGGCTGAGCACTTAGCCATGTGACATTAGAAGACTCTTGGAAGTGCTAGATAGTTTTATTTGGCCAGGCCTTGAGACATCATGAGTATAAGCAACTGAAATCAGTCTTTATGAAAACAAATGTTTGATGCCTTCTGAAATCAACTGAAGTAGCTTGCTTGCTTCTGAAAATTTTCGTAAGTCTTCCAAGATTCCAGTCTCTACCTATTTTGTCAAGGTGTGACGTATTACAGTTATATGGTAATTTGTACTACTGAAGTTTCGATACTTGGGAAACCTCATTTTGAATTAATTTTGAATTTTCAGAACTTAAGTTCTCAGCAAATTTGGCAGTATCCAGGTTTTAGTTTGCCAGAGAGTGAGAGATTGGTGTGTTTGCTTGTGGCAGTAACCTGGTGTTCTATTAAAGAAAAAAAACCTTTGCATGCTGTCCACACGTACCACAAAATAAAACCTATTCTGATAGGGAGCTTAGAGTCTCATATCAAGACTAAGTACTGGTTATTTTCCATTGGTACTGTCCCTGAAATCATACACGTTGCAAGAATGATTTATGGGGTTTTTTTTCCTCTGTTTTCCGATGCTTGTGTAGTAGCAATTTATATACTTGCTTTATCCCAAATCTGTTTTCATATTCACAGGCTAATAGAATTACCAATGACTACATTGATAATCTCGGGGCTATTTTTATATGTTGAATCTTTTAAAAAGTCTACACTGCTTAATACTACAAGGATCATACAAATGTAAAATGATATTAAGAAATACAATAAGGTGAGATTGGTGCATAAGTAATTTTTATTTATGTCGCTGAAATTATGCACAGACACTGATAGGGCACAATACTCATTAGATTTATGTGTAGCAAGAGTGCTAGCTCAGTAATAAAATTATAAGCTTGAGATATGTGATACTGCTTTACTGTTTTCTCTGTGTGTTTACTTATCTGGTTTCACTGTTACAAAGCTTATTAGAAACTGAGAAATACAAAGTATATAGCACATGCAGCCTGATACCCTGATTGCATTTCCACCTTTTACTTACCATGTTTAATGGCATTGTTTACTACTGTCATTGCTATGGTTTGATTCCTTTTGCTTCTCACATTCTTCCCATTTGTCTTTTGGTTTGGTTCATTTTAAGACTACACAATAACATGGATAATGCTGTTCCCAAGGTGAACTGCCACAATAGCTAGTAGGACATGGTATCTCCAAGATCCTGTAGTGTGCCCGTGCCTTACAACTCATGATAGTATTGTGCTGAGGCTTCATTATGTTTTTGTGAGAGACTTGTTTCTTTCCCCAGTTTCATTAGTTGTTCTCTCTTCTGAGACAGAACATTGCATCTTCATCCAGAGCAGATGACATATACTCGCTGTAAGCAGTAAACAGCAGTGATGAAATGCTTGCTTTGTCTTTTTCATGTTTAACTCCAATGTATAAAGATACTATATAGTGATTTTAGTTGCCTGCTGATAAGCCATCTATATCCCTACTGATATAAAAAGGAGAAGGAGTCTTTAATATAACCCTCCTGTCCAGGAGTTTGACTGTTAATAGGTTTGTCTATTTAATTAATACTGAGTGGTGTCTTACCATGTTGAGAAGTGTGGCTTTATTCTGGGATGTAATACAACTGGTCTCTGAGCCTTGGTCTTCTTGACCACCATTCTTCTGCTGCAAGGAAGGCTGTACAGTGCTTTAAGTCTTTCATTTTGAAAGCTTGTAGTGGTTTAAAAATTATTCTGTATGCTTAAAATAGCATAGATTGTTTAATGTGCTTGTTTCTGGGACTAGAAGAATATTTTTAATAGAGTAACTTCCAGAAGGAAGGTGATGCAATCTCACCCCTCTGCACAGTGCAGCCCAAAGAAACTCACTCATGAGCCTGTGCATTAAACCCACAGATTCTTTTTGTACACTACCATTGTTTTCCAGATGTTATCCTGCCTTGCTGGAAAGGCTTTAATGGCTACAGAATTTACTGTTCACACAAGGTAGTTGCTGCAAAGATTATTTTCCTTGATAGTAATGTGAATGCATTTACTTACAAATTTCCATTTGACTGATTTCAGCTTCCAACAAATTCTCAGATTCTCTGTATATTTTCTTTTACATCAAAGACTCACAATGAGAGACTTCATGTAGGTGCTTGCAGGCTGGGGCAAAACAATTTCTTTGCTGCTTCTTGGTTAAAGCAAATAAACTGAGCTTATCAAGCCTCTGATGGAATACATTTTTCTAGCCCTCAGATCATGTGCATAGCCATTTTTTGAACCATGTCCCATTTTTAGTCATCTTAAGGAATCAAAGAGCAAGAACTAGAAACAGGATTGTAATAAGTGTCTTGCTGATGCTCTGATCAAGAACAGCTATGTCTTCTAGTTCCTACCTGGCTACATTTCTGTATATGGATGCTAAGGGTTGTTTGACCTTTTAACTGCATTGTTGCTCAGGAACTTCATGTCTTTTTTAATACCATTGCTTTGCTCTCCGTGATGTAACTTCCCATCTTTCTACTGTGATATGTATTCCTTACACCTAAGTGATTGATTCTATATCCTGTTGTGTTGAAACAGGCTTTGTTCTCATGAGCTGTGTTCAAGGGGAATGCAGAGCAGCAAGCATCACTGGCCAGTTCCATTGCTAATCACTCCTTTGAATTCAGACTTATTTTTTAACAGTGCATCCATCCACTGTTACATGTTTGTCCCAGCAAAATTTAGATCAGTCTGTTTTAGCCTCAAATACCTGAATCATAAAGGCATTTCCTCCCAGTTAATGGGTCAGCATGTCTGAGAGCAGATTATGTTCTTACCAGTATTTGTTTTGCTCACACCAGCAACAAGAAAATCAAAGATATAGAGTAGGGATGTAAAATAGTAAAGGGTGAAGACAAATTGCCTTGATTATGAATCTTGATCTGCCTTTCCTAGTCAAAGTTTGTACCTGAGGAATTTTGTGGAATGCTTATTCTACCAGGTCAAATTGTAGCAGCAGCCGTGAGCAGACTTCACTATAGCAGTTGATACAGTTGGGCTATATTTTTGTCACTACCATCCCCACCTCCCAAAGGAAAACCAGGCAACCAAACAAGAAACCCAAACCAAAAATGCCCACCCTAATGTTTGTTAGTGCCAAATGGAGCTGCCATTTTGGCACTTTCCTGTAGATATGCACCACACAGTCTTGGCAGCAGAGTTCTAATTATTCCAAATGAAGAATCTCTTACTCAACTACGAATTCTTCTCTAACATCGTATATGCAGTTAGCATATACAAGAGTGTATATGCTCTTGTCTCTTTCTGAAGTAGTCTGAATTCCTTAGGAGTCTGCAGGTCACATTCACAAACCTGTTTTTAGGATTTTTAACATTCAGCTGTTTTATGCATGTATGTACACATATGTGCTTCCAGTGGATTAATTGCTAGCCATATCAAGTGAATTGAAATTGTGTTGGTACTGGACTTCATTAAAACATTTAAAGCAGAAAAATAAGTTTTTTATTAATATAAAAGAATCAAATTATATCGTCTTCACAATTTAAATGAAATGGGTGGAGTGAAGGATGGTATTAAAAGCCATGCTGGCAGCAAGTGGTAGCTTGTGTCATTGCCAAATCTGTCTTCTAACCTCTGTGTGACCCAATTCTGCTGAATTCCAGTGGTCTGTGCAAGTACATCTTCTCTAGGTATAAGAATAGTAGCAGCAGTTACACTACCTAGAACAAGAATGTACAGGGCTATCAGCTGTCTTGCCTAGGGGCATGAGATGGTTGCCAGCTGGGGTTAAGAAAAAGTGTTTCCTTCCTGTGAGGCATTACATAATTATCTGTGTATGTTAAATGTGCTGGGGTTTTTGTCTGAAATTTATTATATAAGCCAGTGCTATAAGAAGATGCCAGACTAAGAAAACAACCTGGGCATATGTATTATGGCAATTCTTTTTTCTCCTGTTTCTAATAGTGTCCAAAATAAAATGTGATTCAGTTTATGTTTCACCTTGTTAGCTTTGCAGTGCTTTGCTTTTAACACTGTCCTGCCAGCTTTGTGACGTAAATTTGACTGCAGCTGAGGAATATTGTTAATCCTCTCATTTCCTTGTGGGGAATCAAGCTTGAGCCAAATGAAATGTTTTGTGCTATGGTGTTTTCTTTATTACTGCACATACAAAGCAAGTAAAAATGCTGCCTGCCAGGATCTTGCTGGAGTGATACTGATTCTCTACTTTTATGAGATGCCAATAAAATACGAGTTGTTTTTTTTTCATCTTGCAGCTTGCTCTTCACCAAAGTAAAACTGGAATGGATATATAAAGGACCTGAAGAGGCTCTGGTGACATGCAGACATATGTTGCAGATGTGGCAGATGGTATACAGTGTTTTACAGCACAGGTAGGCTTTCTCCACTGTAGCAAGTTCAGATTTGTAATTGGCAACGTGGTTATCTTTTTTAATTTTCTAGATACTTGACTTATTTTGAAGGAAGGATGATAAACAGTACTGTTTAAAAGATAAATAATAGTTCTAGCAGTGATTTAAAAAAAATAAAGATTTTGATGGCCATTATTTAAAAAAAAAAAACACCACACAAAATCAAAACTTCAGTGTTTTAATATTGAAGAAGTAGTTTGAACCACAAGTTTCTGAACCAAATGTCTAAACATCTCTATCCATATTTGGATGTTCAGAATGGAGGACAGATTTTCTTTCTCCCCAATAGTGCTGAGCTTTCATCAGCTATTGTTCCCAGTCTGCAGAAGTTGGCACCACCCAGGAATGTGTGGGGGTGACACAGTTCTGAAGTGAGTAAGCCAAGGAGAGGCACAATGCCAAACTCATATGCCGAGCTGCACGCTGGTTGCACAGCCTGGTGCTAACTGGGCAAGGAAAGAAAGGAAGGATGTAGCATCTTTCACCCTTCCCTTGTCCCAGTAAATCTGCATTCACACAATGCTGCATTTCCTGCTTCCTGCCTTTCATCTGCTGCCCCACTGAAAGGTAAAGTTGATGAAGTGTGGAAGATACTGAGTTGGGTTTTCTCCCTTCCCACACCCTTAGGACATTGCCCTAGTCAAGATATTAGGGTACAGTGTCTTGGGAATATTATACCAAGATCCCTTGTCCATAATGTCCACAGGGGTTGTGTTTGATGGGAAGGACAACATGCTTGATGGCAGCAATCAAGACAGCAGGGTGATGTCACTTGAGTTGTTCTCCAATTTCTGTATGCATTTGAGCAACTTTTATAAACACCAGAAATATATGTACAGAATGATGCATGTCTATGTACAAGTTGTATTTGAGGGGTTATTAGTAATTCTTGTTGGTTTAGCTAATGAGCAGCATACCAAACACAAAAAATCAACGTATTTACATAGCAGCAGTGGTCTTTTACAGACTTGAACCATTGATTTCCTTAGGCCTTAGTATCTTTAGCTAAGGATTCAATCCTGTACCTCTCACATGAATAATCTTTATAACTGTGAATAGTCCTCATGAAGCTGATCAAATCCACACTGAACAATTATGACTGAGGAAAATTTACTCTTGCAAGGGGGGGCCTGCAAGCCTGAGATTGTAGAGAGTATATTGGAAAACAGACAAATAACTAGTTCAGCCATTTGGACTGCATGTGGATCCCAAGCTGTGCTTTGGCTCTTATACTTAAAAACCCAAGATGTGATAGCTTTAGAGGCTTTTGATAAGCTTTAGCTATAGAATCTTAAACAAAACAAAAAGCTTTGCTTTTGCTTTTAAAAACTCTAGTATGTATTTCACTGCTATTCCAAGCAGGGTTTTTTTTTCTCTTTTTTCAAAAAAACACATCATAAAGTATTTTTTTATTAGGAAATGCTACTGGCAAGGTAACAAGAATCAGCTTGGTACCTGCAGTTTTAGACAGGATTCAGTGACCCAGGAAGCCCCTTGTATTTAGCAAATTGCAGCAGTATCAGCTAACAAATATGTAAAGTATTCTGGGTAGGGCTGGCAGAGGAACTTAAGGGGAATTCTTATCAGTGAGACTTGGACAAAGACATTTTTAGGGCCTCTTGTGAAAGAGAAGGTTGTATTTACACAAAGTTGAGAGCTGTTGCACCCAGTACTCCTTACTGGTTCAATCAGTAGATAATTGCCTACACAATTAAATGGCACTTCAGTTGCATTTGCTTGACCTGTTTCCTGTGACTCTGACAGACCAAAAAATCTTTCAGGGCCCAGTGTTTTATCCCCAGCAGCTATTCATATGCCCTGTTCAAGTCCCCTGTTTTCTCTCTGACAAACTGGTGCCTCTGCAATCTCACAGCCAAGTGTCCCATTCAGTGTTTTTGTCACCAGTTTGTCCCCTGTCTCAGCTATGTTTTGAAAACATAGGCAGTAGATGTCCTGCTGTCCTACTGTCAACCTTTACAGTGCTATATGTAGAAAGCAGATCATCTGGCAACTATCCCTTGGTGCATCAAAAAGCTTTCCTGGCTGAAGGCTTTGTGTTGTAGCTTTTAAAGGGTTGTTAATTTTCAGCCCTTCCCTGGGATAGCAAAGCCATTGGGAGTGGCTGTTTTGCACAATGCATTGCGTTTGGTTTTCAGCCTGGGATTTTCCAATCTCGTCACCTGTCCTTAGAGTAGGAATACAGTGTATTAGTCAGTGTTTCAGCATGTGCCTGAACAGTGATTCCATGGTGGTGGCTGCTGCATTAAGGTAGCACTCGCCTCGTGGCAGTAATAGATGGAAGTGCAGCTGCCTTATGCCTGCATGCACAGGAGTAAGACTGAGCTGTCCATACAGTTCCACCAGCAGCTTCTGGCCAGGGCACTTACATTTGGGTCAGTCCTGTCTAGGTAAGGCTGAGGCATAGGACAGATAATTTAATTTTCCCTTCTGTCTGTCACTATGTGAGTGTCTCAAATGGATTATCAGTGTGGAAACCACTATGGAAGACAAGGGAGGCCCATTCAAGTACAGTAATTGGTCCAGTCCAGTGCCCAAGAATTCAGAGTGCATTAACAGAAACCATTATGTTTGATCCCAAAGCCCAAGTAAAAGGTTATTTAGCTACTGTAAATATGATTGCTGTTATGATGAATGACAGTAAGTGGCTTTCAGTCTTGGGTTGTTAGCTGGGGAAGACAAAGCTTGCTTTATCTTTTGCTGTTGTTTTCTGTGATAACAGAATAATTGTGTTTAAAACCAAATAGCAGTCCCAAGCTAATTCTTCTACTAGATCAATGCAGATTCAAGGGAATTCTGTGCAATCTCTAGCAAAGGACTCATCAGACTGAAAGATGGGGGCATCCACACCAATCATGTCTCTCTGACAGCTTGCTTCCTGGAAGGAATATTGTCCAAAGGCTGAGCTGCAGGCTTGGAAGTGTGCCAGAAAAAGTAGCCAGGGCAGTCGCTTTTCCTTTTGGTATTTCATCCCTTAATGGATGATGAGAGGAGATATCATCACCACTGATCCTTGGCAGACTATGTGGTGACAGGAAGGCTCAAGAGATCTGTGTTAAGTGATTTTTTTGTTAGGCACATGGTTTTTTGTGGTTTTTTTGGTCGGTTTCTCTTTGTAGGGCCTCTCCTGTGAGGACAGAAGTCCAGTGGAAGAACAGACCAGAGTTTAATAAACAAACCTGTTTCATAAAGCAGTGCTATCTGGTAGTTTTTATCTTCCTCCTCTTTTTGAACAGAACAAAGGAGAAAGGGGAGAAAGTAAGCCCTTTGAAATGAAAATAAGAAGAAATTAGCACCCAGGTGGAAGGTGGTAATTGGTCTATTTAAAAAGGATCAGCAGAGTAGATCTGTGAAAAAATTATTCTGCAGAAAAGCCCAAGAGATGGTGGTTCTTGCTGGGTCTGGGTCTGCTAATGGGCCTCCTCTGGTCTGACTTCGAGCTGCCAACATGTTTCTTGTCCAGTGGTTTGTAGAGACTCCATATAGCCAAATAAAGTAAATACCAGTGTGTGCCCTGGAGCCTCTGCTGGGCAGTCTGAGCTTCCTGTCCACTGGCAGTGGGCCGGGTGCTAATACATTCAATAAGCTTATCTCTCACACCTGGAAACCTTGATTTTTCACTTCCCATGGCAGCTAAACTATGGCCTGCTTTGAGGGGAACGTTTCTCCACTGAGAGATGTCCAAGTTACACAATTTTGTTTCTTTACAGTGGCTCTGAGAAAGGAAGTAGTGTGACCGAAACACCAGTAATCAAAAAGCATAATGGACTGCATCTCACCCTCCCAGATGCTCATGACACTGATTCTGGTAAGGAAACAGGAATTGTGCTTTCCTTTCCAAGCAACTGCTTTTGTGAGAGATGAATGTTTCCTTTTCTTTGGAGAGGGTGGTGGGCCTGTGCTGGTCAGGAGGTCCAGGTCTGCCTCCATGGCCATTTCCACTGTAGAATGTGTCACTGTGGTTTGTCTGTACCTTGGCTTCCCCATGCCTCACACATAGAGGAGTTTCTGCTTCTTTCACAAAGCTCTCTGAGATGTATCATTCTGTCCTTTTTATTTTTTTATTCCTTCCCTCCCTCAGCCTGCCTCCTGATTTAATTCTTTTTAGATGTCCTGATCAAGCCAGCTGCTATTGTTGGTTTTGGAAAGCTGAGTGAGAGTGTCAATTCCTATTAGATGGTGATTTGCTTTGGGATTTGTGCATAAACCTTTATTTTATGGTAAATACCTATTCACAGTAACAGATACAGTCAGATGGAAGTAACTGAGACATCAAAGCTGATCTTGGCAGTAAAGGGGAAAGGAAGCTTTCAGAGAGCGCTGCTGACTTGTGATTTTTGTCGTAAATCTTGTGATACTTGGTACTTCTTTAAAACCCTAGCTCAAAATCAGATGATGTGAGAAACTTGCCTTTTAATTTGGAGGGTTTTTTAGGGAATCAAATGCCTATGCTTGTGGATGTAGAAAAAACACTTGCAAAGAAAGCGAACCTCAAGCTCAGAAAATGGACAAGAAAAAAACCTAATACATAAATCTTGTGGATCGCTAGGGAATTAGGGTTTGTCTGAGTCTTAATTGTGCTGTATGCCATGGTGCTGCCTGCCAGAAAGGGCAAATTAATGTAAAGTACAAGCTTTGAATCAGCTTTTCATGCACCTAAAGTGATTTGCACTGAATGCAGTTTAGTTTTAGCCAAGAAATATATTCCTCCTCCACTTTGAGAATCCAGGTTTCCATGCTAACATGATTGCCCCCACAATGGATGCAAGAATGGAGCTCATACTGAAATTACACCACCCACCTTAGTGTGGGGCTGGCTCTGGCTGGTTTCAGCAGGGCTCTGTGGCTCCCTGCTCTGCAGGCTCTGCGTGCTGCTGTTCCCCATCTGCAGAAGGGCAGCAGCTGGCTCTGCTGTGCCTGTTGGGAGCCTCTTTGAATAGAGCAGTGAGCGAGATTGGAGGGTACAGCTCTAGCTGCTGTCGGCCTTGTGCTTCCCCAGAGCTGTGGCTGCCTGCTTTGCAGGAGGGAGGAGGTGTGATATTTCTGCATCACTGTGGAGCAGGCAGTGCTGTCTGTTGTGCAGTCCCCCGGGAGCGTGCAGCAGCATCGCTGTGCTGCGCAGGCGCTCTGTCATCTCTGGGCTCATCACTGAAGGGTGGCAGCTCCTGTGGCCGGGTTTGACACTGGCCTCTCCCTCAGCTAGACCACAATAAGATGATTTGCTGTGCCAGAATTTTAGGTTTGCTGCCAGAAAGATTAATTCCTCTTTATTTTCTTCATCTTCTCCTAACTGAAGCAGTGTTCCTAACTAAATTCATTGATATCAGCTGCCTTGCTGTTTCATTCTGTCTCTGATTTAGTCTTATCTTGTAATGCTTTTGCCTGAAGTGATTTAGGCTTGAGAGTTCTGTGTTTCTTATAAGCCTAGTAAATCTAATGAGCTACATTTCTGTTTTGATAGCAGTTTTCACATAAATGCAAAATATTGGTCTTTTTGGACTTAAAACACCCTAGAACAGTGCTTTAAAATTATTTAGATAGATTTTGTATGGCTTATGTGCAGAACTCATCACAACAAAATGAGTTTGTTATTTCATGAGTTATTTCCAAAGTGTTTGGAGGGATTTATTGTAAAATGTGAAGTTTATATTCTGTCTAGTAGAGCTGTTAAATAGAGAAAGAGACTGCACTAAAATAACAAATTTATATGAGATCTTCGTATGCCAACATTTGCATGTATTTTGAGGCATGACATTAAAGTTCTGCGAGACAGGTTTTGTGGGGAAGTTTTTTTCTCATGTTTCCTTAGGAGAAGATAGTTTATAATGAGACATTCAGATAATTTTTCATAGTGTTGTTTGAAGTTTTTCCATCTTCCCCCCACCACCCTGAGGTCATGGTCCTGCCAGTGTGACACATGCTGGTCTCCTCTCCCAGGAGAGGAAATAGTGTGTTTGAGATAAACTCTTTTGTGCCTGCAGTAGCCATCAGCCCACCCCAAGGGGCACCTTATTGCTTGCCTGAGATTCAGAGATGTGGATGAGCCCATTTCAGTCCAGAAAGGCCAGACTGGCAAAAATCATCTGTTACAGAGTTTATTTGGTCAGACAAGCTTTAAGGAGAACTGCTGTGAGCATCCCAGCAGAGATGGGCAAGAACAGTAGTGGCAAAAGTGGAGTATGGACTGGTTTGGAGAGAGCCTGATCATCTGGCATGTGTGTGTCTAGAGCAAAGAGTGTATCTGTCTCTGAGGCTAAGCAGGGATGGCATGATCTCTGCCTAAAATATTTTGCTTCCTCTTGTAGGCTGGAAGAGAAGGAAAAGAAAGTAAACATCAAAGGACTGGAATACCAAGGGATGTTAAATTAAAAGAGCCTGCATGTAAATTGCTAAGTAGCTTGGGTCTCATTTGTCCAGCTGTGCAGATGCCCACTGCACTGGGTGGGATCAGTTTCAGTCTCAAATTTCCCTCTTGGCAGCTACTTGGCTAGTGAAGACAAGATGAGGAGCAGCTAACTTGGGTTTCTTTGGGAGCAACTATGCTGTTATATCCTGTGAAGTCTTCTTTGTGAAGGAAGGATGCTTTAGTAGATTCTAACTGGACCTACTTAGGCAGCGTGTGAACCTCTCCAAAATGCACAGAGATTATTTCGTTTTCTTGGATTGATTTGCAAGGGAAAGAGGATTTCCCTGAGCTCTGTGAGGATGTGAATAAGACACCAGCCTATCTGCCTACCCAGTGCAAACAGCCCAGCATTACATTTGGATGCTTGCAAGAAACACAGCTCCACGAAGCTTCTCTGGGAGAGGGCAGCCTTGGCAGAAAAATGTGGTACTGAAAGTTGCTTTCAAAACATGTTGATATAAAAATCTTGTTAAGCTGACTGCAAAGTCCACAAAGTTATATGTATTTTTTCCCAGGTTTGCCAGTCTGGAAGGCAAGAAGTATGCCCTAACTTCAAAGCTCTGCTAATAACATCACTAGCTGTTCATGTGTCCATTTGCTTGTCTCTGCACTGCAGAGAAGCTGTCTGTGTTTTAGATGGCTAGGGATAAATGATTTGGTAGTTTTCCCTGTGTCAAACAGCTCTAGTCTGGCTTGAATTTCTGAGAGTCTCAGTGAAATTCTCACTAGTGGAGATAGGGATTAGGGAGAGGATGTGAGTGGGCAAGGCAGGGACAAATCTTGTGCTGTGAAAGAGGCTGAAGGTGGATCAGTTAAATAAACTGGTAAATACAATAAATTCTTGCTGCAAAGCTGAATGGCTTTTACCCATAACCTTAAAGCTGTGATTGCAACATTACTGCACTGTCATCTCTTGGAACATTAGATCTTGGAAAATATGTAGGAATTTAAGAAATGCATCTGGGAAGAACACATTTGCATTTTCCAAGGGAGCCGTGGGAGGCGCCTGCTTGCAGGGCTGTTTTGTAGTTCTCCTGCTTGAAATGAATGACATTAGTTAGCGATGAGATAATAGGACAAGTATTTCCCAGAGCAGTTGTGAGCCTGGAGTTGCACTTGTGGGCTCTCCCAAGCTGTGACATGCTCACCCTGGGTCAAGCAGAAGCTGCTGCCATGTCCTGCCTCGCAAGCACAGGTGCTTGGCACGGGAGGGTGAAGCCTCCCCTCGTGCCTGGTGGGTCCCTGCTCTACATCCCCAGTGGAGATGGCTGGGGACCACAGGCTGATGGCTTGGTCTGCTGGTGAGGAGGTGTGGTTTGGCAGCCCTGCCTCTCTCGAGCACACTCCAGCTGGAAAAGCATGCTGTCCCTCTCAGAGAGACCATTAAGTGCATATGCCCTGTGGCTGCGGAAGAGAAAAAGTGGGATTCTAACTCTAGGATCTTGTGGTTTATGAGGTCAGCCTGTAAGGATAGATTCAAGAGTAATGCTAATCAACACAAGTGCTTCAGCCACAGCAGCTCTCCAGAGAAAGAGCTTATCAACCATAAAATCACATTAAAACCTATGTATATCAAAATATTTATTTCTCAAAGCCAATTCTGAAATCTCAATTTGTAGTTTCTTATCTTGTTGCCACCATCTTGATACTCCTCTGAGAGGCTGGCTCACCAGTATAATCCCACTTGCTGTACTGGAAAATGTGTTTTCTGCCCATGCAGCCCTCCTAGGATAAGCTTTTGATGTGATGTTTTGTCCCAGAGGTGTGGGTGCCAAATATTTTATTCTTTCATAAATGTTACAGTGCATACTAAAGGTTAATATAGTCAAAGCTCTGAACTCTCTGCTCCCCAAGGTTAAATGAAAAACCACCCTGCCTCTAAATCAGTAAAACAATATTGATGTCACTTGAAATGTGTGTGCAATGTGAATGGGGCTAAGCTACTTTTTAATGCTGTATGAATTTTTTACCTTAGTGGGGCCCATTTTGTAATTGCATGATAACTATGCTTATAAAATGTGTATTTGTGGAAAATATTTGATGCTAGACTTCTGCTTCCCAAACAAGCAAAATATGGTTGCTTCCTTGATGAATGCTAAGCAGACCTTTATAAAATTACTGTCTGTCTCTTAATTTGCTTGTTTGAGCTGCAGCCCTTGGATAATTTAGTGGGTTTTTTTCAGTAAATTAACCTTTTAGAAAACATATTTCTCCAGTTTATCATGCCAAAATTCAGCAGAGTTCTTATTACATAAAACCAATGCAGTGAGTGGAGGATCAAACTTGCTGCCTTAACAAGTCAAAGAAATAACATAAATAAGTATAAAATACATCATTGTTTGGTTCATAGGATCACAACGAGCCTCTTCCCTTGCTGCATCAAGACTGGAACAGGCCATGTCTGAAATAACTATGCAGAGCAGCACAATGAAGCAGGGACCTGTGAAGCTGTGGACAACTCTTGAACAAATTTGGCTACAAGCTGGTAAGTCCTGAGCTACCTGGAGTTCCTCTTTCCCTCCAGTGATGAATCAAATGACATAAATATTCACAGATTGCTATTGCTATTAACAGAGTAGTTGAAGTCATGAATTGAAAATCACTTATTCCAGCAGAAAATCTGCCTATCTATCCCAGATGGTTATTTAATTTTGACCCCAAAAAATACTGTAGTAGTGTGATTTCTCAGCTCATTTCTGTTTTTCCAAAACACACAGAAAACTTTAGTCATCACTATAATACGCTTTTTAAAAAAGAGAGTGGGTAGTTCTTCATTAGCAAATGGTAGTTCATAAGGACAATTATTTCCATTCTCCCTTTACTAAATGCTTCCCTCTAATAAGGCTGGGCAAACAATGTCTTAAATGTGATTTAAGCATTCCAATCTTTGCTGAGGTTTAAGTGGAAACTATTAGAAAGAGCACGTTCTCCACTCTGTCCTTGACTGTTTGAACCTCCCAGGGTCTTGTAGGTTGAGTATCAGTTTGAGACACTAATGCAAAGATGCTGCAGCAGAGCACATAAGGGGAAGACAGTGAGGAGAGACTCTAGCCACAAGTGATCTCCCAACCCATGGGGGATGTTATGTAGGACATTTTTTGAGGAGCAGACTAGCCCAGCACATTCTGCTGTTTGCATTCCAGTGTTTCAGAACTGGGAGAGTTCCAACCCTGTAATTTTGGTTTTAGGAGACACAGTTTTTCTTCTATAACTGGGCCCACAGTTGCACAGTTAAAATTACCTTTGAGTGCTATGATTGCTTATTAGATGTCTCACCATTTGCAATGCAGAAAGAAAAGCAGAACCCCCTGGAAAGCTGCTGATAGTTTCCTATTCTTCGTGCAGGGGAACATTTCAAATTCTCATTTTGCTAATCTGTGCAATTGACAGTTCTCATATAAGACCTGGCAGTCTCACCCTGCAAAGATTTTCAGAGCTGTTTTTGTGGATAATTTCCTACCAATTAGACTTTAGTTCTAGAACAAAATTTATGACATTGCTTTTGCTACAATTTGATTAATATTAACAAAAGAAGTCACCTTATAAAATGAATCATCCTTTAAGTTAATCGCGTATTCTCCTTAATGACTTGTGTGGATGTAAATTTCAGTGATGTGCTGTGGGCTTCAAAATCACCAGCAAGATTGTGCTTTATTCAGTTTATACTCCTGATTTAAGGCTGCAGAGAGGGCTGGTGGGGAGCAAACTAAATGGAGTTTATTACGATGAGAAGTCAGGTGTCTGTTGTCCATCATCCTACAGCTAGCTCTAGGCAGTTTACATTTTTGCTGCTGTCTGAAAAGGCAAAAGCAATAAAGACCTGGTGCTTGCTGTGAATTGCTATGATTGCTTTTCAGTGTGAATAGAGTGCCTTTCTGAAAGGTGTTAATCAATTCTTTTAGATAGAATTTATTTTTATAAGCTGTAACTTTTCTCTCTTATCACTTTGTAAGCCTTTGTTATGCTTCATGCTTAGTTTTAGCTGGACTTGATTCAGGATTGATATTTTGAGAACATGTACTGTGGCTGCTTTGTAATTTCATTACTGAAGTCAGTTATTGTTATGGATGCAGCTTAATGAGCTCCTGCTGAGGTACTGGCCATTCCCTTCTCACAGTAGTGTGGAAGCTGCTGGATTCTGGTATCCTGAGGGATGAAGAGAGGTGCAGGTATTTGGGTAGTCTTTACTCTCTGTGGAGAAGGACACAGTACCTGAATAATTAGAAGACTTCTTAGAAGTGGGTTGGCCTTACACTGAGATTAGTGAATGGAATGACCCAAAGGGTGTCACTGACCTTCACTACTAGGATCTTTCCCATCTGAAAGGAGGAGCAAGTATACCTGTAAGAAGTAACTTCCAAAACAGAGATATTTCATAGACAACAAATTAAACAGATATGCACAGTTAGAGGAAGTTGAGGTAGTCAGGTGGTTTTACATTACAGCTCACCCCAAAATTAATGGCTGTGGAAAGCAACAGGCAGTTAGTGTAACATTCTGATGCCTGCCTATGGACTCACTTGATATTCATGGAACATCTGCATCAGTATGCTGTAGATTTTCATCAGGTTTAGCTTGGACTTGTCCTTTTTCAATCAGTGACTCATCTTGTGACTCCAGGCAAGTTGCCTAACTTTTTCATACCTCAGTGTCCTATCTCCAAAGGGGAAAAATGTTAATCTGCCTTTGGGAAATGACTCGTGTGTTGTTTTTGTTGTTATTAACACTTTGACCTTTTTAGCATGACTCATAAATCCTTAGATAAAGTTATAACAATTTCCTAACCTCATACTACAGTAAATTTATAACAAAGCATCTGTCCTTCTCAGACACTCACAGGACACAGCTGGCCATGTCTCTGTGCACAGGTAGGGACTGAGAGTGCCAGGTAGCAGTCATGTCTGGATGCCATTAGAGCCATTGCAGTTACCTTTCCTTCTCATACCCCAGAGCATGAAAGGGAATGGTACCGACCAGCTGGTCCAGTTAGAACTTTGTGCAGTGAGATTTGGAAGAGGCACACAAAACCAGCTATCCCACAGCTATATGGGGCAGCTCTTACAGCCCTCCAGCAGCCAGGCCACAAAAAGGCACATACACTTTCAAGGGGGACTCTTAGGGGGCTGGTACCTATCCAGTGATGCTTACATAGGGGAATCCTTAGTGTGTCATCCTCCAGCTGCAGTAAGAGTTCCTGCCTTGTACAGAAGTGTCCTCTGTCCCTTCAAGCTGGAGATCCTCTTGTTCTCTAACAGGTTTCACAATTACCTTCTGAAAATATGTGTGTTCCTTTAACAGTGGCTGAAGGGAAGGCTGTGAACCCTGTGCAAATAGTTAATCCCTTTTGTGCTGTGATAAAGATACTTACTTCACCCACAAGAGATCATATACTTAGTGGTTTTATCTGTAACTTCTCTGGGTTTGTAACCAGCATAGTTTTGTAGGGAAGGCAACAAAGCACCATCTTTGGATGTGCAGCTGCTAAATTGAAATGTGTTGCACTGTGACACATGCTGTACCTTGTCTTTCCCTGCAGCAATGCCTAGTGATCTCTGGCAAGCTAATTTTTTGTAGCCTCCTGTAAACAAAGAACTGCTTGATGGATCTGTGGTCTCTAGAAAGAGTCTTTTTCTCTTTCAAGCATCAAAATAAAACTCTGAATTCTCACTGTTAATCTTATGTCCAGCCATCCCTTACAGGACCACCTGGGAGTACAGTCACCTGCAGCATAGAACTTGGCACAGTGCCTTAGTGGGCTTCCATATCTTCCTGTTTTCTGCACAGGTAGTCACAGCTCTGGAAGAGTACTGTGCTGTCCTCAAAGACTAGACATCTCCTGCAGCAGGCATGCTTGGAATACTAACAGGCAAATTCTATTTCCAAGTGTTCTGCAGCAGAGATTGTTAACACAGCTTGTCTAGTCCCTTTTAACAACACCCTCCCCTCCTCAGTCCTCTTGAATATAATGACTTCTTAAAAAGAATCATCTCGGAACACTTTAACATTTATGAGCCTAAACATTATTCTTGGCCCCATGTCTGAGAAACAGCTCGTTTCAGGGAGTACTTAGGAACAGTGCTACAGTGCACATGCTGTGGTGGTGCAGCTCCAGGAGAGGTGTTCATTATGCAATCCTTATGCTCATTTCTCCTCTTTGTTCTACTTTTCATGGATGAGAGCTTGAATTCAAGTTTGAGAAGAGGCAAGGAACTTCTGTGGCACTGGTAGAGCTTGTTAACTCCTCCCTCTTCCTGCAGGAAGAGCTGCAAGGGCAATCCTAGAGATTACTAGTGCTGGTACTTCTAGCAGTCATGCCAGTACTTCTCCCTTTTGTTTAGAAAATAGAGTTATGCTGTTTGACTAAAGAAAATATACTTCAAATCGTTCAAATTTATGACCAAAATTTACCTTCATTCAGCATCTTTATAAGATCATTTTTGATCCAGAGAGCAAAGCATGTTAGTATTGGAAAGAAATTGTGTTAATTTTGTGTTAGGCTCTTTGGGTAACGGGAATGATTTTTTTATCTGAAGTATGTGTGATTATATTTGCAGGCAGTAATAACCATATGCTCTATTTATACAGAGCATTTTAGAATGCTACAAGCCAGTTTTAATAAGAGTTCTAATATTCTAGCTCCTGTTACTGTATTATTTTAAGCTTTGCTTTTAACTACAAGGTCCACTTTGTTTGTCTTTACTAGTAGTTTATATCTGACAATTTAGCTTCTTGACTAACCCAATACTTTACCAAATATGGCCACTCACAGCAAACTAGGTCTGGTAATTTGATCTAAATTTGGCTAAATGCCTGCTAAGCTCAGCCTGTGAACCTCACCAGGTAGACCCCAAGGCTAATTTAAAGGAGGATTTAGAGAAAAATGAGAGGATACTATTCCATGTACTCCCCGTGGGGCTGGAGTGAGCTACCTGCTGTCTCAGTAACATGCTAAAGTTTAACCTAGGCGAAATAGTTTATACTGAACATGCTACAAAGAAGAAATGCAAAGAGAGCCAGTGCAGCAGAGAACAGTGAGCTAATGGAAAAACATCTGCTCCTCCGAGTTATGTACAGCAGGAACTTTTTTTTCCCCTTTCGCAAAACACTTGTGATTTATTTATTTTATTCCATATGGGCCAGTTCCTGGGAAAAAGCTGTGTTAGAGGAGATGGGCTTTGTTCCACAAGAAGCCTCCAATGTGCTGGTCTGCAGCCGTGGAGCCGGATCCTGGCAGCAGCCAAGGGTGCAGCCATGCCCTCCCCTGCTGCCCCTCTCCTCACCCAGCACAGCTTGTGTTTGCACAGCCTGCACATGGGCACTTCAGTATTTTTCCTTCTCTGAGCTTTTAGCAGTCCTAAGCCCCCACAAGTTATTAGCTCTGATATTAAAGGTGTTAATCAGGTGTGGGCGACATCTTTATTGATATTGCCAGAATAGCTGGGTCAGATACTGTCCTGTAATGCAGCACTGTTGTTGAGCCAACTC